AGAGCATAGTTTCTATTATGCCCAGCAAACTGTATGGCCAGTGGGAGCAAAGATTACGTTTGCTTTTGCTCGAGATGAAATTCGTGATGCCTGGCCAAGTGCCAGACCCACAGCAGGTGCTGTATTTGCTGAGTGCCTAAAAATACTTCACATTACCTATGACCGGCAAGGAACGTTAACTGTCCCTAAGAAAATGGAATTTGACTAAATCCAATTCTCTGCACACATCAGCCATTTTCATAAGCAAAATATTTTTGTTCAATTATGCCTAATTATTTAATTGTTTACATTTACTAATGAAATGAAACAAGAGAAAACAAACAACTGTAAGGGGCTGCTTTTCAGCAAGTGCATAATCATCAATCACCATGGACTGAAAGAGTCTTAAAATTACACGAAGCTGGTCTGCTAAAATAGAAAGGCGTACTTTATCCCAATCAATGCATAAAAGTGGAATTATCCATAGCTGAGGCATGTTGCTCCGCTGTACAGTTCAGCTGTAATGATCCCCACACACCGCCTTGCACATCAATTATGATAATCATAATCACGGTCGTTAAGCTGAATGCTCATTACTATCAGGATGCTGGTGGCAGCAGATTCAATCACTGGGTGCGGTGGGCAGCAGCCCCAGTCCCACCCAAGTTTCTGCAGACAGTGATGTGCCACATTAAATCCATGATGCGTTCCACATCCCACTCTATTCCAAAAGCCACAGACAGTAAAGGTCAACTTTATGTTCTGTGCAATATGCTTAGGTTCTCTAAATTAATTCTTTGGAGTCCTGGATATTTTTATGCTTTGTAGCTTATAAAATCCTGTTTAGAACCAAAATGCATGGGAAGATAACGGGAGAGGACGGCAGGACTGCTGTAATTCACCCAGAATAAGGCATACGAGGAAAGGCCCTGTCAGTGGAAAAGCTCCATCCTAAAAGTCTCCTCCTGAATTTTGTAAACAAGGAAAAACATGAAATGGTTCCACTAATATTGGTTGACTCAAATTCAAATGGAAATTCATTCCAATTCACAGAAAAGCCTAGAGTATCGTTTCTGCTTCAGTAAATACGAACATATGTGAATGTTGTGACAGCCCAAAGAATGTTTTTAGTACACTGAATTTTTTATTGTCCAACTCTTTTAGACTACTCAAATAGATTAATTGTGACTGACTAGTAGGCTCTCATTATTTAATTTCACAACTATTTTCCATATTGAAATCAGTACAATAAAGAATTTATAAATACAGACTTTTAAAATGAACTTAAAAGTTTGACCGCTTGAGTTCTTTATATATTCTAGATAAAAGTCCTTTGTCTGAGGAGCATCTCTGGTGTGAAAAACTATAATAGTACACAAGATCCTAATGGGGTAATTAACAAGGTGAAATAGGAAGAAAAGGGCTAAAGGTATAGGGAAAGTGGGAAGGGTGGGGGAAAGGGAATAAGGGAAAAGAAAAAATATGAGAAAATGAAAAAATGGAAATAAAGTGTTTGTAAATGGGGAGGGGAAGAGGGGGTGAAGGGAGGGCAGGGACAAGGGGAAAAAATTAGAACAAAGAGCTGTCATAAAAAGGCACAAGATCCCAGTAATGAATATAACTGTACTATATACCTAGAATGTACCAATAAACTCAATAAAAAGAAAAAAAAAAGTTTGACCGCTTGAAACAAAGACTCAGAATGAAAGAATCGAATTGAGGAAGTTTGCAAGTAGAGCAAAGAAATATGTCTAAAAACATGTCCATGATTTTATTATTAATTTTACTGTTAAAGAATTTTATGTATTTATATTATTATCATTGATTTGCAAAATTTAGCCAAAAAAAACCCCGCAAGATTCGTTCTCACTTTTCTGATTTTTGTGATTTCTTAAAGAGTATTCCAGATGAAAAGCATTAAAAATAAGAGCAAAATTAAATATTTGGTATTTACTGAATATAAATGTGATTACCAAAGAGTTTTGAATTAATATTTTATTGTCTGCTAATGGATAGCCTTTAACATAACTGGTAAACAAGTCATCTTAAAACTATGACTTCCAAGTTTAAAAATGATAAAAGAGGAAGTAAAATCTTCATGTAGATGGTTTGGAAGCAAAGTAGAAAAATTAAAGAACAGGACCCAAAGCTCATGCATGGAGCCATTTCTCGTGTGAAATCAGTGCACTGCAGGCAGCTAATTCGTACACAGCTCAGGTGGCTGACGCCCCGTGAATCTGTGGCAGTCCCTTCTTCCTTCGGTAGTTTCAACCTACAGCTCTAGTCTCCCTGAGACTTTCTCTAATTCCCTAATAATAAGTAACTTACGGTTTCTACTTTCCAAGATCAAAACATAACGTCTCATAAAAGAAACCTACTTTTTGCAACCTCCTGGAAGTCCACCTCACTCGTGTGTGTCACCCAGTATCAACTCAAAGTACATTTTGAAGAATTCTGAGATTTTACAAAGAACCAGTGAAATGACTTCTTCTCTGCAGTGCAGACTACATTTGGCCACACACTATTATTTAATGGTTTTTGGAGAGAGAAGATGGGAAAAACAAGAAAGACGGAAGGCTTGGAGGGAGGGAGATATGCGAACCTGTGCTTAGTGTTTCCTACACTTTTGGTAGGGTTGAGGAGGACCCATGATTTATTAAAATTTCTTAAAAAATAAATACTTTTGAAAAATGTCTTGGAACCAAGGGTGAATTGGATCAAAATACTCACTGTATATATTCTTTCTGCCATGAAAGCACTAGTGGTTTAGAAGACATTTTAAAAAGTGACTTAGTGGCAAAAACAGAAAAAAGATTTACTTCCACACTGTCCCCATTACCCCCAAGCACATTGGATCCATTTTTGAATCCAACAATACATTGTCCTTATGAGAAAAAAATGGTCTCTTTTTCCTTGTGGGTCTTACAAGTCCTTTCCGCTTGAGTAATGAAGTTTTGCCTGTGCCTTTGTGCTCCTCTTCATCTTGGCCGGTCAAAGGCTGAAATTCCTGAACAACTCACCTTCATGTCAATGGCTCTCCTGTATTGTGTGTACATATAATCTCTTCCCATCGAAGATAATTTTCCTTTATTTTTATTTCTGCATCATGCCCTCCTTGTACTTGACTTTTAATAAAGATCCTATAATCCTTTCCGTAGAGCACAGCACAAATCAAGGACCCTTCACTGACAAGAGATGAACAGTGTCCCAGGTCAAGGGGCCCTGGCAGCTCAGGAGCCCGAGTCCCATCCAGAAAGCCTTCCCCCTCACTTCATCTGTGTACATCCTGCCATAAGTAAGCTCCGGAGCCTGCTGTTAGAATTTTCCCTTTTTATCTCCGATTGCATGGCGTTGTGATGTTTTACCAATTCAGACTTTTTTAATTTAAGAGGTTTAAAATGTTCTGAACTCAGGAAAGAAATGTTAATTTGCTTCCTTCCTTGTTTTCTGACTAATACTCTTAATTCTCACGCCCTTGTTAATACTCAGTATGGGCAAGGAGCGTTCATATTGACTACTTTACTCTCACTGACCTGTCGTAGGCCCTATTGAAAGTTCTAACACGAGCCAAAAAAAAAATGTAAACTTAAAAGTTGTAGATATAAAATATTACAAAATGAATGACAGGATTTGAAAGACTGTAACAGTGAAATGGTGATCACACCAGATGTTTTTAGAAAAAAAAAATGATTTTAAGATGTCCTTGGGCAATAATAATGGTTTCCTTTTTTGTTTAAATTCTCAAACTTTAGGGCCGGGGATATGGTTCAGTGGTGCCACCACCTGCCTTGCAATTGCAAGGACCTGGGTTCCATTCCCGGTACCAAAAAAACAAAACAAAAAAAAATAAATTCAGAAACTTTCTCCTATCTATGTGGACAGCATGAAGGCAAAATCACATTCCCTGTATGCATGTGCACACATGCGTAATGCACATTTGCTGTGCTGTGTATATACATGCATGTCACAAAGTCAGGACGGAATGGTGACCCACCCCGCGTTTCACATTCTGAAATGTAACTCCCAATGTCACTCTGTGGGAGACAGGAGATAGCTTTAAGGAAATAACGTGAGTTTAAATGAGATCATATAAAAACTTGCGAGTGATGTTCAGTTAAGAGCACAAAAACATTTGCTAAAGGAACTGTAACATGGTAAAAGCGATATCTTATTTGTCATCTTATCCCCAGTGCCTACTAACATTTTTCAGTAATAGATGGTAAAAAGATCGTGAGACAAGGCAGTGACTTAGTCATCTCAGCACACGCCAGGCACAGAGGTGGGATTCCAGCAGCAAAGACGCTGCCCAAGTGAACTGAAGTGAGGATCGGGAGAGAATGAAGGTGGCCCACGGGCCAGACTTCCTGGGTGCTAGACAACTGGCCTTCTGTCCTCCCACCGAGGGAAGGCCTCAGGCTTCCACCGCAGGCACAGAAGCCAAAACTGTTTCCTCCTTGGTTTTCAAGGATGAGGCTGCCGAGGGTAGGATGAGCCCTTGCGAGGTGTGCCAGTCAGGGCCACCCCGTTCAGAAAGCCAGGGGGCAAAGCCCGGACAGACTCTCCTTACCCGGGCCCTCGCTCCAGGTCCCTGGCAACCACCACACTGCTCTCTACTTCTGTGCTTGCCCGTGTCCACTCCATGGAGAAGTAAGGTGTGAGTGGCCTTACTTCAGGTACCACCAAGCTGTATGCACATACAGACAGAGTGAGAGTGCGTGTGCAAGCGCTGATCTCTTCACACTCGGGCAATGCCACCCTGACAACACCCCAGAGGCCAGGTCCCTGCCATCAACACAGAGCACATGCACGGAAAGTACGTAAGGACAGCAATAACGGAAAGTCCATTTAAATCTCTCTTTAACATAGGTCAGTTGCACTATAGCTACTTTAATAAAGTAGCTATAAATAATTCTGTAACCAGGAAGGTATTAATTGTAACGAGAATATTCATATTTGTTGTAATCAATGCGTATTTCCAACCTTTTGCAAGGAGCTCCATTCCCCATGTTGTGTTAGCTTACCTTGTCGCAGACCCATCTCCTGGGGTTTTCACTCCGGAAGTCTTGTTTTCTGCAGGAACCGGGGTTGTACTTGCTTGAGGAAAGCAGGGATGGCATATAGTTTTCTTTTTTATGGTGGGAAGAAAATGGCAGAAACCTGAAAGAATATTCAAGTAGTTTTCTTAATTCAAGACCTAAAGACACTTGATTTTAAAAACTAAGGACCTGGAGAGACAGTGTCGTGAAAATAACGCATGGTGGATGAGTCTTCATTTCCTGTTCAGCAAATCAAGACACTGCAACTGTCCTCGTGCAATGTGCATGAGCTTCAAATATATTGGAAAAACAGACAATGTGGAATGAGCAATTTATGAATCAAAGATGTCACATTACTCAAAATCCATCATGTAAGCAAAATATTCTTCATTTAAAATATCATCCTTTCAAAACAAACACAAAAGCATCCAGTAGAAGCAGTTCTCATTATAATGTGTTTTTTTCAAATCTTAAACCACCCTACAAATGGATAGAGACTATGAAAAGTGGAATTTTTGAGTCAACCCAAACCTCATTCACATCTTAGCTTCACCCTGGACATTGTTAGCAGTGTTCTGTTACCAAGTCACTTGGCCTCTGTGAGTTTTTTATACAGGGTTGTTAGGAGGAACATTCATAATATTATACATATAACACAATGCTTTATATCATAGCATGTATGTTATTGTATATATAATACTTTATATAACACTATATATAACAGCTATATTTTATATATGTGTATGTATATATAAAACCTTTAACACAGAGGCTGTAAGAACAAGTGTCCTTTAATAACGGTGGTGGTGAAATGACAAGCACAAGTAGAAGTTGTGCTTACTATGATCAGCAGAAAAGACCAAGCTTTTAAAACCCATACAAACTCACAGAATGTCTCAGATTTTGGATGTGATTTTATCATAACATGGGAATTGCTGAAACCCCTCACCTGACTCTACTACAATCTCAGTAAATGAACAAAAAGTTGTAAACCCATGAGAAGGAAAAGAAGCAAAGGTGAAAGAGTGGATGAAAATAACAAGTGAGGGAGGCTCGAAGTTAGGTGCTGAAGCCAAACGAAGCCCTTTGTCCTGCAGACCAGGGAAAGTACAGAAAGGGAAGCCACAGACCTGTGGAATGGGAGGGTGAGGACGTTAGAGGGCCACAGAGAGAGGGAGCCGAGTCCACGAGTCCATCCACAGGTGAGGAGAGCCTGTTCTCAGCGGGGTTTGCACCAGAGCTCTGTTCCCCTCCTGGGCGGCCAAGGAGCGGCCCAGATGGGACTCCGGCTTCAGCCAATGACAGTGCACCCTCCCTGCTCTTCCTCACTCATGTCCTACAGAAGGCAGGTTCTATCTTCTCAAAAGACAGAGTTCCCAGAAAATCCCCAGCGGCTGGGGATGTCTCAATAAAGCCCAGCACCACTCAAACAGCCATTCACACACAGCTTTTGACCTAATTATTGAATCTGGAGATTCAAGGAGATGATCTAAAATCTCCTCGAATCTCCAGATTTGGAGAATCAACATAAAAGGGAGACACAAACCTAAGCATAAAAGAAAACAGAGAGAACAACTTCCACAATTCCCTTTGTAATGCAGAAAAGCAAAGTCCCAGAAATTTGTAAACAGTATGATCAAAGGAAATACGGTATCAGTAAAGAGCTAGATTTAGGGGAATATATATACAAACTCTGGGACATAAAAAAATACACAAGTAGCAAAATTCTGATGAGAAAGATATTTCAGAATTCTGACTTGAAAAACCTAAGGTTGAGATTCAACAAACATTTATGGAACCATTACCATACATCAAAATTTTCTCATATATCTTGTTTAAGACAAAGACTTTTTAAAAAAATCTAAATTCAACTGACATTTTTAGTTCATTGATACTATGTTCATAAAATTCCTTGAAAATTAATAAACTCAGGAAAAGTAGTATTATTTTTATAAATGTTCCTACCTGTGCAATTTCTTTCTGACATTTATTAATGAACTCCTTAATATTTTTCCTAAGAAAATATTTTCTAATAATACTTAAAATTAAACAGATTACAGAACCTGGAGTTTTAAGAAGTTATAGAAGTTTGGATGACATGTACTCTTGGAAAAAAAAAAAACTCTCAATGAAGGCAGACTGCGGTCCTCCCAGTGTTAATTTCCACATGGGGTCAACACCACATGCAAAAAATTAACGTGGCCCAATGTCCCTGCGTGTTCCCAGGAAGAACCATGAGCCGATTGCTGTACTCACGGCTCTTACCACTGCTGAACTGCATTTTAATGGAACTCTTTGCTTTTGTGTATGAACAAAATTTGCCTTTATAGGGAAATGGGGGGCTGAGAATACAAGGCTGAAAAACTAGGTGTTTCCTTGGCCATGAATTAATTTATTGTCATTTAGCCATAACATTTTATTAAAATAACATGGATGCATATTCTGAAGTATATTATGTATTTTTGCATGCAATAAGTATATATATTCAAAAATACTTAGATGCTTTGTAAATAATCTTTATATAACACTTGTCTTTAAATTAAAAAGAAAATTAATTTACAAATAGGATTTGATCAATAAATTGTAAATAGTCAGGTTGGGGGCATTCAGCAGCAGTGCTTATTTATCATGAATGAGGCCCTGGGTTCCATTCCCAGTAATACAGAAAGAAAGAAAAGAAAAAAAAAAGTATAAATAGCTATGAAACCCTAAAAATCATCAATCTATTATTGTTTCAGATAATACTATCATGAATGAGGCCCTGGGTTCCATTCCCAGTAATACAGAAAGAAAGAAAAGAAAAAAAAAGTATAAATAGCTATGAAACCCTAAAAATCATCAATCTATTATTGTTTCAGATAATTATCAATTAACTTTAGAATGTTATCTTTTACAAGTTTTAAATATATATTTAGTCATACTGTGTGCTTTTAGTGAATACTTCTCGATTAGCTAAACACCATGTTGATGATATTAACTGGCCGATTTGTTTTTATAATTTTACGAAGAGTATAGATCTGGCCAAAATTCTTCAAAACAAAGTGCAGATACAGTGATAAGCAAATCTTTACATGAACATCTGGATAGTCACAGGAGAACTTGTAGCGATTTTATGAAGCAAAAGTCAATTTAGCCTTAAGGACCATAGGCCTATTGAGGATATAGTATAAAGTCTTTATTGATCGAGTATTAATGTACATAATGCAACTTTTCAAACCATAACAATAAATCACTCATCTTTGTCTCCTTTTAACTTTCATTTTCTTCCTTTTCATTTGGCCCTACTACTCACAATTCTTGGTTTTCTGCCAACCCATTTATTTCACTGATGGCCAGTTCAAATCTTCATGCTATGAACTTCTATCACTTACTGATTCAAGGCTAACTTCTTCAACCCAGCTGCCAAGCTCCTCAGAACGCACCTGATCTGTTCAGCCTTCTGCTGTCCCCACCTGCCTTTCCCTCAAGGCTATTTGCTTTTCTGAACTTGCTCTCCCACCCTAGCCCTATGCCTCTGTGCTCCTCCCTCCTCTCTGGATGCCGACCTGTACACTACCCACCTTAGCAATTCTCTATTGTCTAAATAGCTATTCAATAAACCTACATTAAATGAAGTGCTTTTATATATGGGGCACTTTGAAAAATACAGCAGTGTAATGATAGAAGACCCAGCACCCTTAAAGGGAATAGGGCTTCGGTCTGAAACAAACTCACAAGTAGAATGTCGTAAGTTATGTGATGAATGTGTGCACTAAAGGAAGAGTTATGCTTGTTCTTGTGTGTGGGGGTGGGGGTTCCTGGCAGGGAGTTGGAGGGGGAGGGAGGAAAAAGCATCTTCCCACCAGAGCTGAGTTAGGAAGTAGTGGAGGCTATTTTAGAAAAGAAAACAACGCTTATACAGATTGGAGTTGAGTTAGGCCATAAAAATGAGTTCTGACGGCACAAAAAAGGGCTCACCATAGCTACAAAATTGAGTTATTTTGAAGGAAGCAAAGTAGATCAGAAAAGCCTCAGAGTAGAGATGAGCAACCCTGTTAGAGAGAGTATGTGCAGTCATATATTACAGACCTTTATACACTGCAGAGTGTTTTTCTTTATTTTCACTAGCTGTGAATTCTGACTGCCCGATAGGGTAGTTATCCAAGCCACAATAGATCCTGTCTTAGTTAGATTGGGCGTGGTGGTGCTGATTTATTAATACTAAGATCCATGACTATGGAACAGGTCTTGGACACCACACAGGTCATAGATCAGCCCCGTCTCTGCAAGGGGCTTCCAGTACGATATACACACTAAGCAAAAAGCAGGATAAAGGGACATTTTATTACAAGTTGGAATTGGGCTGCAGACTGCAGTAAATTCTCCAAAGAACTATTCCAGGGAATACAAGTATATCTTTTTGTCTAGACTAGGGGCAGCAGAATTAGTGAGCTACTGTGAGTTTCTCCCAAAATTTATAGCAGAGCCTGTAGAAGCCAACGCTTTCTAATCTGAACTCTGCTCCTAGACTGGCCCTATGTGCCTTAACAGCTAGCAGAACTCAGAGCTACACTGAGAAAGCACAGTTGCTTCCCAGGGAGAATGGGTTTCCTCTCTCCCGGTGGCCAATATGAGGAAAAAGGGACCCCTCCAAGGAGTCTCCTCACAGAGAGCAAATCTACAGTGACACCTTTTTAGTTAAATCCCCTGAGAGAGCCAGAGAAACTTCTAGAAAGAGCAAAACCGCATCAGGGGACCATGGTCCCTCAGGGACCTAGCACAACACCCCTCTTTCTCCTTGAGCTGCATAAAGAAAGGTGATGAAAGGGAGAAGGCAGTGGGGAGACACAGAAGTGCTAGGCTTCCCTAGAGAGAGGATCCTGTGTGTCATCGGTCCTGGGTAAGTGCTGGGGTCTAGAATGCCCACCGTAGGCCATGTGAGCTCTCAGGAGCCATGGGACGTGTAGCAGACAGAGCCTGGACAGAGGCTGTAGATCTCCAGACATGTCCAGAAAGGGGATGTGGCTGGCCATCAGTTGCCGGCTTCCTCCACATGCACACCTGCCATCGCATGCTGCCTCAGTCCCAAGTGCAGTGGCCCCACTGACCACCGGCTTGGACCTCTCCGGCTGTGCCCTGCCA